AAAAAAAAAAATAATAGGACAACAAATTAAGATAACCTAGAAGAAATGGATAAATTCCCAGAAACATACAATTTTCCAAGACTAAGTCATGATGAAATAGAAAATCTGAACAGACCAATTACTAGTAATGGAATTGAATAAGTAATCAAAAACTCCCAAGAAACAGAAGTTGAGGACCACATGGCTTCACAAGTGAATCCTACCAAACATTTAAAGAGTTAATACCTAACTTCCTCAAACTATTCAAAAAAAAAATGGAAAAGGAAGAAAAACTTCCAAATTCCTTCTATGAGGCCAGCATCACCCTGATACCAAAACAACAAAGACACTACAAAAATTAAAAAAAATTACAGGTCAATATCCCTGATGAACATAGATGTAAAAATCCTCAACAAAATATAAGCAGAATTCATTCACCATAATCAAGTGGGATTTATCCCAGGAATGCAAGGATGATTCAATATCTGCAAATCAATCAATGGGATACAACACATGAACAAAATGAAGGATAAAAGCCATACAGTCATCTCAATAAATGCAGAAAAAAATCTGACAGAATTCAAATCTGTTCATGATAAAACTCTCAACAGTGTATTTTGAAGGGAATATACCTCAGTATAATAAATGCCATATATGAAAAACCCAGCTAACATCATACTCAATGGTGAAAAACTGAAAGCTTTTCTTCTAAGACCAAGAACAAGGATGTCTATGCTCACCACTTTTATTCAACACAGTACTAAAAATTCTAGCTGCAGCAATCAGACAAGAAGCAACAGCAAAAACAAAAATAAACCTAGGAATGAATCTAACCAAGAGAGTAAAAGACCTGTAACTCTGAAAATTATAAGACACTGATGAAAAAAAGTGAAGACATAAATGGAAAGATAAACCATGCTCATGAACTGGAAGAACAGTTAAAATGTCCATGCCACCCAAAGCAATCTACAGATTTAATGCAATCCCTATGAAAATACCAATAGTAGTTCTCATACACCTAGGACAAATAATCCTAAAATTGTTAAGGAACCACAAAGACCTTGAATCACCAAAGCAATCTTAAGAACATAACTAGAGGTACTGCAATCCCAGATTTCAAGATATACATTACAAATCTACAGTAATCAAAACAGTGTGGTACTGGCATAAAAACAGACTGATACATCAGCAGAACAGGACAGAGAGCCCAGAAATAAATTAGCACTTATATGGTCAGTTAACCTATGACAAAGGAGGCAAGAATACAATGGGGACTAGACAGTCTCTTCAAATGGTGCTGCAAAAACTAGACAGTTAATGTGCAGAAGAAGGAAAACTGAGCCACCTTCTTAAACTATATATAAAAATAAATTCAAAATGGATTAAAGACCTAAATGAAACATAAAAACCATAAAACTAGAAGAAAACACAGGTAGTAATCTCCTGAACATGGGCCTTAGCAACATTTCCCCCTCAGGCCAGGGAAACAAAAGCAAAAATAAAGTACATCAGACAAAAAAGCTTTTGCACAGTGAAGAATATCAGAAAACAAAAAGGCAACCAACTGGGGGCGCCTGGGTGGCTCAGTTGGTTAAGCGACTGCCTTC